CCGAACCAGGCTTTTGTATAGCTGGAGCTTAACTTCACAGCTCTTGAACTCAATCCCTCTATTAATGAAAGCTAACACACCATACGCCTTCTTAACAACTCTATCCACCTGGGTGGCAGCTCTTAGGGAACTGTGAACATGAACCCCAAGATCCCTCTGCTCCTCCACACTGCCAAGGATCTTTCCGTCAACCCTGTATTCTGCTTTCAAGTTTGTCCTTCCAAAATGAATCACCTCACACTTTTCAGGGTTAAACTCCATCTGCCACTTCTCAGCCCAGCTCTGAATTCTATCAATGTCCCTTTGTAACGTAGAACAGCCCTCCGCAATGTCCACAACGTGACCCACCTTCGTACCATCCGCGAACTTGATAATCCACACTTCCACTCCTTCATCCAAATCATTTACAAAAATCACAAATAGAAGAGGACCCAGAACAGATCCTTGTGGTACACCACTCGTAACTGAACACCATGTTGAATATTTTCCGTCCACTACCACCCTTTGTCTTCTAAGGGTCAGCCAATTCTGAATCCAATCTGCCACATTTCCCCCTATCCCATGCCTCCTTACCTTCTGCATTAGCCTACCATGGGGAATCTTATCAAACGCCTTACTTAAATCCATGTATACCACATCCACTGCTCTACCTTCATCCACGTGTTTGGTCACCTCTTCAAAGAATTCAGTAAGGTTTGTCAGGCATGATCTACCCCTCACAAATCCATGCTGACTATCATGAATCAAACTGTGCCTTTCCAAGTGATCATAAATCCTGTCTCTCAGAGCCCTTTCCAATAATTTGCCCACCACTGACATAAGACTAACTGGCCTGTAATTTCCGGGGTTATCCCTGTTCCCTTTTTTGAACAAGGGAATGACATTTGCCTCTTTCCAATCTTCTGGCACTATACCCGTTGACAGTGAGGACGAAAAGATCATCGCCAAAGGCCCTGCGATCTCGTCCCTCACTTCCCACAGAATCCTTGGATAAATCCCATCAGGCCCGGGGGACTTATCTATCTTCAAGTTCCTCAGAATTCCTAGCACATCTTCTTTACCAACATCAACCTCCTCTAGCCTACCTGCCTGTTTCACAATGCCCTCCTCTACAACTAGATCCCTCTCAGTTGTGAATACTGAAGAAAAGTTAAGGACCTCTCCTATCTATTTAGGCTCTGTGCACAAATTCCCATTACAATCCTTGATCGGCCCTACCCTTTCTCTGGTCATTCTCTTGTTCTGCACATACGTGTAAAAAGCCTTGGAATTTTCCTTGATCCTATCCATCAAGGTTTTCTCATGCCCCCTTATAGCTCTCCTAAGCCCTTTCTTCAGCTCCTTCCTGGCTAACGTGGATCCCTCTAGAGCCTTTTCCGTTCCTCTTTTCCTAAACCTTACATAAGCCTCCTTCTTCCTCTTAACCAGTCGTTCAACCTCTCTCGAGAACCATGGCTCCCTCACTCGACCGCATCTTCTCTGCCTGCTAGGGACAAATATATCGAGCACATGCAGTATGCATTCCTTAAGCAATCTCCACATTTCAATAGTGCTCTTCCCTGACAGCATCTGTTCCCAATTTATGTTACCCAGTTCTAGCCTAACTGAATTGTAATTACCCTTCCCCCAATTGTAAACTTTACCCTGCCATATGTACCTATCCTTATCCATGACTATCGTGAAAGAAACAGAGTTATGATCACTACCGCCAAAATGCTCTCCTACCAACAGGTCTAACACTTGGCCCAGTTCGTTGCCAAGCACCAAATCCAAAGTGGCCTCTCCTCGTGTTGGTCTATCTACATACTATGTCAGGAATCCTTCCTGAACGCACTGGACAAAATCTGCTCCATGTAAACTATTACAACTAAAATGTTTTCAATCAATATTTGGAAAGTTGAAGTCACCCATGACTACAACTCTGTGACTTCTGCACCTTTCCAGTATCTGCCTCCCAATCCACTCCTCTACTTCTCTGCAACTATTAGGGGGTCTGTAAAAAACCCCCAACAAAGTGACTGCTCCTTCCTTGTTCCTGACCTCAACCCAAACTGAATCTGTAGACATATCATTCTCGAACTGCCCTTCAGTAGCTGCTATACTCGCCCTGACTAGCAATGCCACTCCCCCACCTCTTTTTCCACCCTCCCTATTTCTGTTAAAGCATCTAAATCCCGGAACTTCAACAACCATTCCTCTCCCTGAGTTACCCAAGTTTCTGTAATGGCCACAACATCGTAGTTCCATGTATCAACCCATGCTCTTAGTTCATTCGCTTTATTTCTGATACTTCTGGCATTGAAGTATACACACCTCAAACCATCTCGGTGTCCGCAATTACGCTCCATTGACCGTATTTCTTTATAAACCACCTCACTCCCTGTTGTGTCTGTCGGAAGGCCGAATACCTCATCCTCTGAATTATAAATTCGGTTCCCCACCCCCTGCTAAACTAGTTTAAACCATCCCGGTACAGCTCTAACAAACCTCCCTCCCAGGATATTTGTGCCCTTCAGGTTCAGGTGCAACCCGTGATGGTGAGTAGTGTCATTTCCGGCTCTGTTCTGTATGGGTTTGTATATGGAGTCCAATTCTATATGTTTGTTGATTGCATTACGGGTTGAGAACCATGCCTCTAGGAATTCCCGTGCATGTCAATGTTAGGTTCGGGCTACTATGGTTACGTTGTCCCAGTTAAACTGATGGCCTTTATTGTCCGAGTGTACTGATATTAAGGAGAGTTTGTCGTGTCGTTTTGCTGCTAGCTGACGTTCATGTATTCTGATGGCTAGTTTCCTTCCTGTCTGTCCAAAGTAATGTTTGTGAGGAGCCACCACTCACTGCAACACGCCAGAACTACGCAGGAAAGAGGAAGAGCATCTATACAAAATCTTCGCTATGAACAGATATCCCCGCAAATTCATCTGCAGGTTCCTAATAAACAGACAACAACAAGAGGACACAGTATGCCCTAACACAATGGCCACACTGCCCTACATCAAGAACATATCAGAACTGATGAGACTCCTAAGACCACTAGGAATCATGGTAGCACACAAGCCCACAGCCACACTATGACAAACACTCACGAGGATTAAAGACCCCATACCCACGACATGCAGAACCAACATAGTTTATAAAATACAATGCAATGACTGCCACAAACATTACATCAGACAGGAAGGAAACTAGCCATCAGAATACACGAACATCAGCTAGCAGCAAAACGATACGACGAACTCTCCTTAATATTGGTACACTCAGACAATGAAAGTCATCAGTTTAACTGGGACAAGGTAACCATAGTAGCCCAAGCCAACCTAGACACGCACGGGAATTCTGAGAGGCATGGTTCTCCACCCATAATGCAATCAACAAACACATAGAATTGGACCCCATATACAAACCCATACAGAACAAAACCGGAAATGACAGTACTCACCATTACGGAACGGACAGTACAAATTCCAAGTGGAGTAGAACAACATCACTTCATCAGAGGCCTCACTGATGACGTTACCTGAACAAAAACCAGGCAGCTCGGCGAGCATGTCAACAACCTCACCCACAAACCAAGCTAAAAATCTTTGCTAAAATTTTAGATAGGAGGGGCACACAAATATAAGAATATTGCCTGAACAATTGTTCTGGCATGTGCTTCTGATGACTTTACTCTAAAACAGTAACCACACCTCAATGTTAAGGATGATTTGCTGGGATATGATGAAAAGTGTAGTCATAGCTAGAGCTCTCAGACTCAATATTTGCCAATATTTGCACCAAGTAAACCTGTCAGAGTCAGAGCCCAAAATTCAGCTTGACAGCCAGGAGTCTCCAAGGCCACTGAGGAAATTATTTCCTCCTGCTTTATCTGTTCCATCTGTAGACAAAACCGCAAAGAGCATTTGATGGCTTCCTCATTTCCACTAAGACTCTTGGAGTGTTTTGGGATGGATCTTTTTTGTCTTGAGAGATAATATGTTTTTCATCATAGTTGATGATTACTTGTGATGGATTAAAATCAATTTAGTACATGCTACATTACTATACACACCTTGGCCACTGACATGGCATCGCTCAAGGAAATTTATGCCACATATAGTAAGCCAGACTTAGTTATTTCAGGTAATGGTCTCTTCATAGAGCTGTGTATTCTGTCTGAGGGTGTTCATGGGGATGCTGGTTGACCTCAGTGGTCATGAGGTAACAGAGAACAATCACTCAGAGTTTGACTTCCAATGATTATCTCGGAGCAAACACTGATATATATTAACACGGAGCTTGTGGACTCAAAAGTGTTGCTTATGAATAATTAAAGCCTGGAAAACAGCATTCCAGTGCTATTTGTAAGGATAAGAGATAGTGGCAGAAAGAAAAGGCTAAAATAAAGATCATAAGCTTGCATTTACAAAACAGAATATTACAGCACATACACTCAGTCAGAAACGTGAGAATGCATGGGAAGCACTTTAATTGAGAAAGTGGGAAGAAGCATGGGTATAGAGAACACCGTACAGAATGGGAAAAGAAGTATAATGGGGCAAGGGAAGGGCAGAAAAGAATTACAGTATACAGTATAGAATGTGGTGAGAGAAGAACAAGACAGAATGAGGTTAGAAATGGGCAGTATGGAACCAACTGAAGGCAAGGACAGGACAGAATGGGGTGAAGGAAACGACAAGACAGTATAAGATTAACCGTATAGGGTAAGAAGTACAAGGTTACTTTAAAGCAAGTTTTAAATTTGCCTTTTCTTAAACATATTGAGGGTTAAATGCAAGAAAGAGGCTGAAAGAGAAAGAGAAAGAGAAACCAAATCCTTCCTAGACAATATCATTGAGGGAATGACAGTGGGTAGCATATTGTTGGTTGTGTGATACATTCATGATTATAGTGAAGACATAGAGCAGATATTGTCCCAAGTTAAAAGCTGCCCCACCAAGATATGATTGTGGAAGAATCAACTCAGTTCACTGAAAAAAGATGAAGCCATGCATTGCCTTTTCAGTCTCCTGTGCCTCTTGGCTGAGTCTAATGGTTTCTTCAGTCAGCCGTGCATTCTCACTCCAGGCTTGTTTCAGCTCATTTTCCTGTAGGTAAAAGCACACACATTCTAACCAGAACAGGCCACAGTATTACATTTCAGCAGTACTTCAACCTTTCAGCTTGTTTCTGTCCACTAACATTCAATGGCTTCACATGTTCCATCAAATGGTAATTACCCTTTCTCACATTTCTATTCTAATAATAACTGAAAAATTTTACAATATTTTATAATATACAATATTTTATTTTACACTGGAAGGACAAAAGACAGATAATCTTCAGAGAAAGTGGTGCCTGTATAACCATATCACTCATGTACCATAACCTCAATACCAGGGCCAAAGAGAGAAGTGGTTAGTATCAATGATGCTGGATATCAGGGGAATGGTTTTCCAATTGGCCAGGTTTCAAAGCAATAAGACACTAGGCCTCAGAAAAGCAGCACACTGAACCTCAGGTCAACTTCAAAGTAACAATTCCACTACATCTCAAGGTATTTTCCCATCCCTGCCCTGAGCAGGAAAACCTGTGGATGTCCTTCCTAGGCAAGGGCCTCATGCCATCACTGCTGGCATTCACTCATTGCCTTAACAGGAGACCTAGCCTCAGATGGGGGACAGCCTTTTTAAAATGTAATTGTTCATGAGATGCAGTTGTGATGTTAGGTCAGCATTTATGGCCTATTCCTAATTGCCATTGAGAACGCAATTGAACTACCATTTTAAACAGTTGCAGTTCTTGGGGTGCAGGGAAACAGAGAACGCTGTTAGAAAGGGAATTACAGGATGTTGAACCAGTAACAGTGAAGGAATAACAATATAATTCCAAATCAGGGTGCTGTCTAGCTTGCAGAGGCAATTGCAGGTGGTAATGTTCCTGTGCATTTGAAACTGATTGTTAATGTGAAGATAATGAAAATTAAAGGTGGTAGATTAAGTGCCAAACAAATGTGTTGCTTTGCCCTGGATGCGATCGAACTTCTTGAGAGTATGGTTGGCTGTACTTAAATGCACATATCCTGATATGTGCCTTGTCACCCAGGGAATGCAAGGGGGAGTTAAAATGTTTCACGACCCCTATCTGCCTTTCGTAGGGACCGCTCTCTCCGCGACTCCCTCGTCCACTCCACAGTCTCCACTAACCCCACCACCCCGGCACCTTTCCCTGCAACCGTACGAAGTGCTACACCTGCCCCTACACCTCCCCCTCACCTCCATTCAAGGCAAAAAACAAACCTTCGATATCAGACAGATGTTCACCAGCACATCCGTCATCTAGGTCTACTCCATCCACTGCACCCGATGTGGCCTCCACTACATCGGTGAGACCAAGTGGAGACTCGGAGATTGTTTTGTAGAGCATCTGTGCTCTGTACGCGCCAAACAACAATACCTTCCGGTCGCGAAACATTTTAACTCCCGCTCCCACTCCCTGGGTGACATGTCCGTCCTGGAACTCCTCCAGTGTCACGATGACACCACCCACAAACTGGAGGAGCAGCACCTCATATTTCGCCTTGGGAGCCTACAGCCCGAAGGCCTAAATGTGGATTTTACCAGTTTCAAAATCTCCCCACCCCCGGCCTCTTCCCATGACCAACCCTCCCTCTCATCCCCGCCTCCTTGACCTGACACAACTTGTCCGTCTTCTCTCCCACCTATCTGCTACTCCAACCTCACTGACCAATCCCGACCACTGCCTACATGCACTCACCTATCACCATCCCACCTACCTTCCCCAGCCCAACTCCTCCTCTCTATTTATTTCTGAGCTCCCCTCCCCATCCCCATTTCTGAAGAGGGGTCATGACCCAAAACATCAGCTTTCCTGCACCTCTGACGCTGCCTAGCCTGCTGTGTTCCTCCAGCTCCACACTTTGATATCTCTGGTTTAATTCTCACTTGCTGGAGATGTTGGCTCTTGTGCAGTTCAAATGTTAACTTGCCACCTTTCAGCCTAAACTTGGATATTGTCGAGGAATTGCTTCAATATCTGAGAAGTTGCAAATAGTGCTGAACATTGTGCAATCACCAGCAAACATCTGTGCTTCTTTCCTAATGACTGAGGGAAGGTCATTGATGAAGCATCTAAAGGTGGTTAGGCACAGATATTGCCCTAAGGAATTCCTATAGAAATGTCCTGTGATTGAGATGATCGACAACCAATAACCAGAATCATGTTCCTTTGCAATAGGTATGAATCCAACCAAAGGAGTGTTTTCCCACTCTAGTTTTCCTGGCGCTCCTTAATGCCATACATGGCCAAATCTTCTTCTTTCTTTCTTCTTCTTTAGCAGCACCTCATGGTTGAGAATGACTTAATTCCACTTCAAGGTATGGGTTCTGTAATGGCTGAATAGTCCAATCCTGGAGTTGCCAACTCTGCCACAGATGGGGCAGGTGAGTGGGACCCTCTGGATTCTTTGTGCTCTTTCTGCCTGCTTGCACAGCCTCCACGTTCTCCATTCAGTGATAGTCCAAGTGATTAGTGCCTTTATGGATGCCTCTTCTCCAATTTGTATATTCTTTTGTGCTCTCCGGAACATATATGGACCAAAATTGGAATGAGGCCAGGAATTGAGTGTTCTCAATGAGCAAGTTATTGCTGAGTAAGTGCAGCTTGATAGCACTATTGACGACTCCTTCCATTACTTTGCTGATAGAATAAGAGTAGACCGATATAGTGCCAAGTGACTAGTTGGATTTGTCCTACCTTTTTGTGAACTTGACATACCTGAATAATTTTCCACATTGCTGTCAGAGTTGTAGCTGCACTGCAATAGATTGGCTAGGGGTGCAGCTAATTCTCGAGCACAGGTTTGGCAGGGCCCATAACCTTTGCAGTACTCAGTGCCTTCAGCTGTTTCTTGATATGACTTGGCATGAACTGAAATGGTTGTTAAAACTGGCACTTGTGACGCTGGGCACCACTGGAGAAGGTCAAGATGGATCATCCATTTGACATTTCTGACTGAAGATGGATGTACTGTTGCACTGGCATTGTGGGATCCTCCATCATGGAGGATGAGGATATTTGGGGAACCTCCTCCTCCTCCTGTTATGTTTTTTAACTGCCCATCACCATTCACAACTGGATGTGGCAGGACCGTAAAGTTTCAATGTGATTGACTGATTATGGGATCACTTAGACCTGTGAACTGCATGCTGCTTCTGCTGTTTGGCATGAATGTAGTCCTATGTGGAAACTTTGCCAGGTTGACACCTAAGTTTTAAATATGCCTGGTGCTGCTCCTTCAATGAACTAAGGCTAATTGCAATAGTAGAATCAGGGATTGGCCAGACCAGAAGGCTACAGATTATGGTGGAATACAATTCTCCTGATACTGATGGCTCACAGCATCTCACAAAAGCTCAGAGTGAGTTGCCGGGTCTGCTCCAAATCTAACTCATCTAGCATGACAGTAATAACAAATAACCTACCAGAAGCTCAATGTGAAGGTGAGCTTGTCTGTACAAGGAGTGTGCAGTTGTCACACTTATTAACTTTGTCATGGATAGATGCATCTACAAGAAGTGGATTGGTAAGGACAAAATTAAGCAGGTTTTTCCTGTTTTGTTGGGTCCCTCGCAATCTGTTGCAGGCCTTGACTATTAGCTATGTCTTTTATGTTGAAGTCAGGTGGTCCATCCAGTTAAACTCCTTAAATTAAAACGTTAAAAAAAAGGTAATAATCTTCGCATTAATACCTGAGCCACAAGCAGATTGGTGCAGGGTCAACAGGATTAAAGAGGTAAATGCATGGCTCAAAGATTGGTGTGGAGAAACAGACTTGAATTCATAGGAGATAGTAGGAACTGCAGATGCTGGAGAATCTGAGATAACAAAGTGTAGAGCTGAATGAACACAGCAGGCCAAGCAGCATCAGAGGAGCAGGAAGGCTGATGTTTTGGGCCTAGACCC